CTCTTCATCAGATTCTTTCTCGCCTTGGTCCTCGTTCGTGTATATGTACACCGTTTTCTGTATTAAACAGTAGTTAGAGAATAAACTCGGACGAAGATCGTCCACACTACCATCTCCCGTCATTCTCTCTAACAAGTACCAACATGTCCATTGTAAGTTTATCTTCGCTGAAAATATGATCTGTATCTGTTAAGTTCTAGTGGAATAGTGCTTTGAAAATGGAATTTCCTTAAATCATCATATGCACAACAAATATACAGTTGACAACTTTAATATAGTGTCGCTGTCTGAGAACGAGACCAGAGCAAACATCATCATTGTTTTTGTTTCATGATAGAGTTACGATGAAAATATACTAGATCAAGATGAATGCATATCATAACTTAGCTAACCGAGATTCGATTAATATGATCGTCATATTTGAGAGTGAATCAGTCAAGCTAAACGCTTTTATTCCACTAAAAACAACAGCTGGTTAATTGTCTTATTCTTCAGTGGTAGCTTACGATTCCCAGCGGTGGACTACTTTGCATTACCATCACCATCCTTTTCAATAATCTAGATAGCATGATTGTCATTATTGTTATTGTCATCGGCACTGTTGTTAGACTGCCGATAATTAACTGAATCAACAATGGCTCAATGTTCTTGGCCAAAGTCATCGGTAGTCAATTGACGAACAATCCATACGTCAAAGCAATAATCAGAATTAGTCGCGTATTTGTACGGAATATCACAATATCCTTTATCGCTCTGAAAAATTAAACCAGAATTCAAAAAAACTAATTGGGTCCTATTTTATTTTATTAAACAACAAGCACTGTAACAAATAGGTCGAATTACTGCTGACACATGGATTCGACTTGATTAATTTTCAATGATAAACACGAATACTAATTCTGTCTGAGCATATGACGAAGTCTTTTTTCAAGATGTACTAGGACTTTTCAATAAAATTATGTTCAAGATTGGAAAAAATGAAGAAGGTCATTCTCATCCAGCCTGCTCCCACGAATTTCGAACAATAAACGATTGTGATTGATCATGTAATATATCTTGGGCACGGACTCGCACACGGGTGTATTTCAACTCTGATCACATTTGTTCCAAGTGGAACTTGGTGAACTCTATCTATTCCGAGAAGTATCCTTCCTTGCCCATGAAAATTGCAAGAAAATCTTAAAAAACATGAAAATTTTAGAAACACACGCACGGATTCGTTTCTTCACTTCCATACACCATTCCAGCACTTATTCCAGATACTACTCAATGAGTTCTATCGATTCCAATCATAAAACAATTTCACCCACCCTCAATCTAGCATTAATTTCCGGATCCTTTGAATGTATTTGACCATTGTTTTCATTTTTGCTCTTCGACGGTCTCCCCCTTCTCTTTTTGATTGTATTTGTCGTTGAACTGGATGTTGACATGACACTTGATTCTTTTGACTTGATAACTTCTGTTTTTGAAACTTTTTTCTTCATCTTCCTCCACTTTGACGAGAATAACATTGTCGTCAGTAATGTTCAAGCCAGTATCGTTTGCTAATCGCTTCCTACGAGCTGATTTCGGCCGTAAAGCACTTTTTTAGTTGTTGCACTCGTTGAGCAACTAGAGTGTCCACGATCTGGCGTACGACCACGATTGGCATTGAAGATGAAGCATAGGATGTACTTACATTTAACATAAGTATGAGTTGTCAATAAGTAAGAGGATAGTTACGACTATTTGCCGCAGAATCAACTGATATCAGTGTGAAGCTAGCTTCACATCGATCATTTCGCTATACTGTAATATTTGAACAATGCTTTGTTCTCTCGCTTGTTTTAGTGAACATTTTTTTTATACATCATACTTTTCGATTTTTATTAAAATGATGTTTATGTTATTTATTCTTCTTCGATGTTATTAATACTCCATTTGTCAATCTAATAAACGGTTGTTCGATAAGACAGTACCAGCAACATGCAACTGCTTCCGATATAATCAAGACCAATGGAAAACAAATGAGTGCAGCTCTATCAACATGGTAATTGATGAGTTTTTTCAGTGGCGTATGACCAACCAGATCAAATGCAAGACGCCAGTGAATTAAATAAACTAAATAACTTAATTTTGAGAACGGTTTGAAAAACTTCGATGATAAAAATTGATTTAAATATCCGTTGTAATAGATGGATTTTTCATCCACCAATGTTGTATACAAACTGTATGCTATAGCAATTGAGAGGAGTTGTCTTACTGAGCAAATTAAGAGTATGGGTGGCCCTGGTAGATCCATGCTTGGACGTGTGCTAAACAACGTTATGCATAAGCACAGGGATAAAGCCCAATAGAGATACTTTTTGATTCTATTGCCGTTGACAAAGTTTTCTCTTTTATTAATTAATAACTTAACAGCCAAAATCGAGCCAGTTATGAAACTACCAAAGCGCATATGAGAAGCAAGGTAAAACTTCATAAAGTTTGACAACCTCTCATGATCAATCAAATGCGAATCATTTTGCGGAAGTGTTAAGTTATAAGTGTCAAATAACGCTTTCGATGTTTCAAAAGTTATTTGATCAAGTGGATGCACTTGCACACCCATCTTCACCACCTCTATTGATGAATCAAAACAATAATAGCAGATGGCGACAGATAGCAGAAGCACGCCGATTAAAATTCGCATGATTTGATTTAAGGTTAATTTATATTTAATCCACAATTGTCGAAGTATTAGAGACAGTACAACATATACATGAAAATCGAGGCAAGTTGACCAGTGGACATGTAATGTATAAAACCAATGATCAAGGTTGGTATAATTCAACAAGAATAGCAGATGAACGAGATAGTTTGAGACCGTAGATTTCAAATTATATGGATAAGATTGTTCTAGATCGCCGAATACATACATATATAGGAACATCAAAATCAAACCAGGATAGTAGCGAAATGAACGTTTCAAAATCAATGTAAAATAATTCGTCTCATCATTGTCCTTATTCGTTAATATCGAGTACGTTAACAAGAAACCACTTATGACGAAAAATATCTCCAAGCTATTGATAAAAATGGTCGACAGGATGCATGTATTTGATTGGAGGTAATCAAACCACTCTTTGGCTGGATACATTGGGATGAACGTAACAAATAGATAAGACACATGTAGGTAGACAATGGATAAATTCGCCAATGCTCTCAGACCATCGATGGACGAAAAGGAGTTTGATTTAAATAAGGAACGAAAATCTTCTTTTACTTGAAATATTGACATTCTAAATCATGTATTGTTTGGAAAATATATGGGGTAGATCCATGGGTATTCTACATAATTTGAAAAAGTTCTTTCTCGATTTTTTCTTCAGCCAATAACGTTTTCTACAATGTTCAGATCTTTCTATGAAAAAAATTAAAAAGAAACAACTTTCAATTCGTGTAAGATGCTCATAAATCTATCCTATGATTATGTTTAACGATCCGTCAAACGATTATGTACAAAAAGTTTCAACTCGAGAGATTTCGCAACGAAGACTGTCGTAACTAATCGTCTTCACTTTGTGAATTATTATTCCCATATTTTCAGTAAAGTATGGCACAAGAGTTTCTGTAGCTGATAATATGATGTTGTAGAATGGTATCCATTGAAATATTGAGTGAGATGGAAATTTAGTCTTGAAAACTTACCGCAAATGATATATAATTCCTTGATGTACACGCTACCAATAATAATATATAGGCCAAAGAAAAAAACAGACGTTATGTAGAGGTTGACGAGCAAAGAAACATACGACGTTTTTTCTTTCTTTCAGCTCTTGAAGCAATGAATCTACGCTATTTCACTCTCCGTTTTTGCGTTCTGTGCTCTATATAAAAACAAGTTATGAATATATAGGAGAGAAAATATTTTTATTTCTTACGAATAAGCACACTACAGAGAACACACACGAGCAATTAGTTTTTCTCCCGTTCTATGTATTTGACTTGATTTTATGAGGGTGTGGGCGAGGCGAAAATTTTTTATGATTGGAACCGATAGAGCTGATCAAGTTGTACTTGGAACCAGTGTCGATTCGACTAGAACCTACACTGAAACGAGTCGGTTCAAAAAAATGCTGAATCCTGCCCGAAGTTATCTTACGTTTTTCATCATCGTCTTATATCTAATCTTGTAAGAGATATATATTTTTTCTTCATTTAATAAATTCTCCTGCATCAAAACACTCCTTATCTCACTACATTTTTTTACATGCATGGCACAACCACTTATCGTTAGCATTTGCCAATTGAGTTATTATTATCAAGGCTTTCAAGCTGAACTGAGCTTAGTCACATCACTTCTAGCCGTTCTCCATCGTCATGATTTCGAAATAAAACCAGTGAGCATGAATCGTGACAGTGTTCTTTATGTTTGTACTCATCGCGGATCAGGTGTTGATATTAATAAACTTCATCAAGAAATGACGCTTCACGTGACGGCTGCAGGAAAAACACCGGATCAATTTATACAATGGACATTCGCTTAACTGATTTCCTACTATTCATATTTTCCAGTGAATTCTCACTAAAATCGTTGACTGTTCGATTTTGAGAAAATAAACTAAATCACACATTGTAATGTGACGACAGAGTGAAGTTCGAGTGAGTTTTAGGGTATATTCTTGAATACCGATCTTTAATCCTGCGGAAATTTTCTTTCGAGAAATGCCTCAAACCACGTTGATTCCAATGTTATCCTCGTGTTTTCTATAAACATAAGTTTAGGAGTGAATAGGAGAACGCAGTCATTCTCGATTGAAAGCAAAATGAAGAGAGAGGTTAAGATTTTTCTTTTTTCCAACAGCACTTCATCGTGTTCGCCCTATGCAAATGGGAAGATTGATTTTTTGACAAATTCAACTCATTGTCAGTATCTATCTTATTAAAAAAAATCGACAAAACTGTATCTCGATCGATAAAAATTTCCTTCAAATGCCAACTTATGCGTCTTTTCTATCAATTAAAATAGTAGTAATAGCCAAATTATTTGAGTCATCCGAATATTGCTGCTTTTCTTCGTTTCATAGTCAACTTGTGTATCTTTCGGCAAGATAGAAAACATAGATAATAGCAGCAAAAGAAAGAATCTTGATACTTTTTCATTACATTATTTCGCACAATATTTAACTTTCTTTCATAGTTCTTTTTTATATATGCGTGGATACTTTATCTCTGGAAACAATCCGTAACCGTTTTCAGCCAGCTACAAGACGACAACCAGCAAATATTCGATATGTTCAATATCAAATTCTATCGTAGAACTTAAAGAGCTCATTTTAAATTCGATGAAAATAGGCAGCCATTCAGGGTGGCCAAATTCGAAATTCGGGAAGGAGGTTAAGTGATATTCAAAGTTGGAACACAAAGCGGGATACTTTCAAATAAAAATTTCCTAGTGTTAAACTAAGTATGATGTCAGAAATATACTAGTATTCGAAAGAACAAATGAATTGTTCGACTTTATTTTTATTAATTTCAAGCCTTGAAGGATTTAAATTCTAATAAGTGTACATGAGGAATGAAAAACAAAAAACACATTGAAAATATGATCATTAATTATTGATTGTGGCGCGCTTTTTTACAAACGAATATTTTTGGCTTGATCGACGACTTCGAAGTAAATCAGATTGATTTAAAACGTGTTGAAACAACTCTGTACAACTGATCCCACTGCTGTTCATTCGAATTTTCAATTCACCACTGACTAATTCTTTGCACATGAGATTTCGCAAAGCCGTCCGACAATGTTTCAAGCGACTGAATATTCCTTCAACACGGGAGTCGGCAAGATGAGCACAGAAAGTTGAGCACATGAAAGATAAGCGAAAGGAATAATCAGCGCCTGACTAATTAAGCACAACACCAATTATCAAATGTACAGAGCATTATGTTCATCACTAAATTGGATATACTCCGAACGCTCAGCAACATGTTTATACAGGGAATTGGATAATAAACTATGTCAACTTAAGTCTAATGATGTAATTAATTCACGAAAATATAAATAATGTTACATGATGTATGTAACTTCAATTTCTTGTTAATTGACAATGTCGAAAATCTCTGAAAACGGTACAACAAAGCAAAAACCACGATTAGATCTTGATGGTCATTCATACATCCAAGACCGACCTTCGGTGAAAAAATTTACTGGCGTTGCATTAATTATAAATCTGATAGCTGTCATTCTCGTCTACACACCTGCATAATTACCAATTCGATTCTCAAACCACCTACTGAACATTCATGTAAATCCAATGCAATTGCTCATGAAGCTCGTGTTTTTTCTCAACAAGTAGCCGAACGGGCTTTAAACACACAGGAAACGCCTGAAGCAATTATCACTAATTGCTACAAAAGTAAGTGACAGAAAACTTTTGAATAAGATCAACAATTTGAAATTCAATTTAGATATGTCAGATCCGTCGATCGCTCGTCTTCCAGTGCGCGAAAATATTAAACGTCGAATTCGAATTCTTCGCCAAAATAACCAATTAGTGAAAGAACCGAATGATCCTAAATTTTTATCGGTTCCAAATGAACTAACTTTAACTCATCGAAAAGAAAGATTTCTTTGTTCTGACACAGGCCCAGGTAAGACGAAAAATAAGATAATTATGTTAACAGCTGTTGTCTCTATTTCAGGTGATGATCGAATATTAATCTTCGCAAGTCCTGAACAATTACAAATTTTACAAACGTCTGAAGAATTCTTAGTTGACGGCACATTCAAAGTTGTTCCTGAAATCTTCTATCAACTGTTTATTATCCATGCTGTTTATCGTAATTATGTTGTTCCTGTGATTTATGCTTTATTAAGACGAAAAAATACTGATACTTACCAACGTTTAATTGACGAAATCCTTAAGATTGCTCCAAATTGGTCGCCTCGCTTGATAATGATGGACTTTGAACAAGCATCTATTAATGCCTTTCAAACCAAATTTCCAATTATACATCTGTCAGGATGTTATTTTCATCTTCGCCAAAGTATCCATCGAAAACTACAGGTGCTCAATAGTTTTGATAAAAGAAAACATCACTATCTCTCTTGTATAGGAACTCCGTCATCAAACTGAATATCAAAATGATACTGTATATACGCACAACATTCATAAAATTGCAGCATTGGCGTTTTTGGAACCCAGCTCTGTCGTTGATCGATTTGAATTATTATGTGAAGAACTAGGTGAGGGATATGATGATATTTTAGATTACTTTGAATCAACGTATATAGGTAAGCACTACTGTGGTTTTGAATTAATATCCTTTCTATACATTTGTTATCAGGAAAGTTAAGATCAAATCGAATTCGTCGAAAACCATTATTTAACATTTCTTTCTGGAGCATGCATAATCGAACAACCCACTCTTCTATGAGAACAAACAATTGTGCGGAAGCATATCATCGAAGAATTAATTCAACTTTCCAATGTGCTCATCCGACGCTGTGGCTCTTTGTACAAAAATTAATCGATGAAGAAAACGTTGTTCACTCTGATCTGGTTCACATCAACGCTGGTGAATAGGGATGCACCGAATCCGAATCGGAACCGAGGATTCGATCTCGGTTCCATGAGGATTCGGTTAGATTCGATTCCCACGGGTTTGAATTCGTGTGGGTTCGGATTTGCAAATCCAATGTTCGATAGGGTTTGTTATCGGCGAATCCCAGATTCGATTGGATTCGAATTCGTTCGCCGAAAACTGAGTTTAGAACCGAGATTCGAGAGAGATTCGAATGTTTATTGTGCCCATCACGTGGATAGCTTATGGAAAATGAATGTGAACGCGCTGGTGTAATAATGCAGAGAAAAACAGACGAGAAAATCGTCTTTAAAAAGAAATCACACAGCTGAACAAATAAAACTACTATGTTGTTAAAATCTTATCCCTAAGAAACACTGTTGCAGAAAGATTGTCCGGTGTTAACCGACAGCGTTCTTTCCGACCAATAAAGCTCGACACAGAAAAAGCGGTTTCTAAAGGGACGCTTGTGCCTGGCGTCGCCAGAAATCGTCGTGCCAACGAAGATAGCAACGGCAAGCCACCACCGTGCATTGACCAGAAATGAAGAGCGGAAGTGTGATCACCGGTGGAGTCAGTGGCCTTGGACGCGGGCAGTCGATAGCGTCTGAATTCATCGATAAGAGATGAGCGCTTGTCCTTGGTGGTGTTCGATTCAATCGAAGCACATGTTCTTCCTCGTTATTCGTTATCTTTGCTTTTCTTTCGGTTTTATCCAATAGTGGATTCAGAGAATGTCGTTGAAATAAAGAACGAATCAACCATGTCTTCAGAAGGAGAAGCAGTGCCATCTGCAAATTTTATCATGAGATGGTTCATTTATACGACAGTTCACGATAGTTTGGCGTCTTTTGTTATCTATTGTGAGATCTACAGAAACGATTGACAAGCGAGAAAAGTTAGAGGTAGCCGCTGGTGTTTCGCTCGACACTGTGGTTCGATTCACGAACAGGCTGCGTCAGTGAATGCTCAAGATAGCAGGTCTTTCACAACTATTTGGAAGCGAATCTGGTTCGAACCTTAACCAAGATGAATTCGAATTCGTGGAAGTTCGAATCTAACAAGAGTCGCATTTATACAAATTCGAGGTCTGAAATGAAAGATTCGATGAAATTCGAATCCATCCTATACGAATCTTTTCGAATCCGTTTCGAATCGAATCCGAATCCACTCGAATTCGAATATTCGGATTTGGTGCATCCCTAATCGGAATATGTTACAGGCTTATAAGCAATCTAATTTTATGATAACAATATGTTCAAAATAAACATTACAGATATTATTGCAACGTTTGCTCGCTTCATTTTAAAACATTTATTCGATCAAGTATGAGCCTTCAGAAATGTCTTACTATTGGTATTTTTACACTCGTATTGTTAATATGCGTCACATATGAATACAGATATTTCATATTTAACAATCTGCTCCGGTATTACGTCCCGCTCCATGTGTGTGAAAGATTGATGGCCAATTGTCGACAATATATTATGTCTGTAGATATACACTTGAAGACTAACTTTCATAGCAAGCAGAACAGAAGTAATTGTAATTATCCGTCTACTAGTCAAGAATATTTTCTACGCAACACCAGTAGCCACTTACCTTCCAATGTCAGTGGAGCCATACTATGGTCTTTTCTTTACGCTGGACTTACCAATCAACGCATGCGAATGAGAAATGGTATACTTTTGGCTGCAAAACTCCATCGACCAATAATTATTTCTCCTTGGATTCACTCTCGACAAACATTTTCTAGCAATAACCATCTTCCATGGCTATTGATACCGTTTACGAAAGTTTTTGATGTCGAGCTCTTAATCTCCTGTTTAGCGAACTATAGCATTGTAGCGTTATATCCATGCCGTCCAGATAATTGTGTTTCAGGGTTTTCACCACCACAGCTTACACAAAACGCCATTGAACATGGTGAAAATATAAAATTACCTTTCGTTGTAGCAAACTTTGATCCGTGGTTTATCAATCAATCATCTACTCAGGACAATCTTTCAAGTAAGATCGACAACTGTTTTACTTGGTCCTGTGACGTGCATAGAGAAGGTCAACGTTTGCTGCAAATCATCAAAAATATATCTAAAGAAAGAGACTTCTCCAATATATTTGGATTACACCTTCGTATTGAAAATGACTTCCAGATACATATAGCAAAGCAACGACAACTAAATTATGAACAAGATCCAACAGTACTAAATTCAATAACAAATTTAATTCTAACTAATACACTGAACTGCTTCAACAAAGTTATAACACATACAGACTCATCGCAATTTTGGGTTTATATCGCAACGGGCGAAACAAAAAATAGCACCAAAATGGTTGAAATAAGACAATTTTTCCCAAATATGATTACAAAAGAAGACCTTTCACTGAATGATTTTCGTCTTGGAATGGATTTCATGGCAGCGATAGATTCTGTTATATTGGAAGAACTGGCGTTCTTTATTGGGTTCAGGTTGTCCACGTTTTCAGCACAGGTTGCACGAAATAGACGAACAAAAGGATTGAAATCAGCTTTGTATACTTTAGATTTACCAACAAGATGTCTCAAGCTGTGAAATTTAAATTTTGATGGTACTGATGTATGAGAGAAGGCTTCCCTACCATTTGTATCAGTTATAGAATGTCATTGCCAGCTTATACCTTGAGAGTGAATTTGGACGAACAAGCTTAACTATGACCCGCTATGAATGGAGGTTAATCTATTCATATGATACGACAAGTTACTCATTTAGTCATAGTTTTCCAACAATTTTAGAAAGAATCCTATAAAATCGTGAAAGAGCTAAAAAATGCACTCCATTCAACACAAGCATTTCGGGCTCAGAACAGGATTTAATTAGACATGCTACAGATTTCTAGGCTCTTATTAAATGTAGAGGGAATTTTTTTTCAGATTCAGACTCACATCAAGGTCTGAATTCGAGAGAGTCTGGCTCTATCTCATAGACTAACGCTGCATGAACGCGAAAGAATCTATAAATTTGTGTCCGGCTATTTCCTCTTGAAAGTATTAGTCGTTGCTGATATAGAAGACATCTTTCATTAAAAGGATTTGGAAAGTAAAGAGGAGATTAAATTACATTGAAATGTAATAGATCGTTTAGTTGTTTATTATCAGATTCTAAAATAAAATGATTTATTGATTCACTGACTATTGAATGCATATAGGTTTATCTAGATACAATTAGTTTATTAAGAAGTTTTAAGTTACTTTCAATTCAATCAATTCTAAACGCTTGTAATGATGATGTAGAGTTTTTAATAGGTTGGAGAAATGAAACATCTGCATTAATAAAATCTGAATCATCAAGAAGTTCATCAATATTGATCAATGTAATCCAATCGTGAAGTTCGATATTCGAACACTTTTGTAAGAGATAACGAAGAATATCTTTTGATGGATTTGATGATGAATTTAATTGAAGTAAAAGATGAATATCAATAAATAACGCTCGTCGAGACGGACTCGTATTACCCTCGACTGAAAAGATTCATATGTAACAATCAATTTGCTATTGTTTTTTCATTTCATACAAGAGAAAATATTTTCCAATGAAATAAAGACAAATTAATGATATAATAAACAACTACATGAAAGAAAGCAAACAAATAATTTTTTGTATTAGTTCCAACTAAATCTCTAAAGAAGTCATAATATGAATAAAGTATATGTGAGTATGAATAAGAAGCGTGGAACATAACATAATAGTCACAGTAAAATTGAAAACAAAATTTGGATTTCGATTACAGAACAACGAACTAATAGAGAAAATGTTTAATTATACAAGAGATTTGTACAGTTACAAGTGACACAAACGAATCCGATGCGCAAAATGGATGACAAGCAACGGTGATTTGTCTTTTGTATCGAATTTGTCAAAACCATTCTGAAAAACACATTTGTGTTTCCATGTAGAGTTTGTCTAGTCTTTGCATCTCGGCAACTTGAGATTTGCTGGGTTTGATCACTAAGACTTTGTAATCAAAGTGTCGTAAAATAATCAAACCATCCAAACGCTTCACTGTCATCTGTATCTTTTGGTAACTTCAGATCGATGACTACTTTGGTTAAAGTTTGTCCTTGACTTTTGTGATTTGTGATAGAATATGCAGGTACAAGAGGTAACGCCCGTCGTTTAATCGATAACATTGCCTTTCTGTGCGTTTTTGATTTATTGTTGACTTTCGAAAGAATATCCGAAATGTCTGCCTGGAAGGTTCGTTCCATTATTGGTATCGGAATGAGTTTTGGTTGAAGCTTTTCAAGATTGCACTCAATTTTGGATTTTGCTTATTTCGACCAATGCATATATTGGCTTGTGCACATATTGGGTGTTCACTGGAAACGTTTTCGACAGACTATCTGTTGACACTGAGTCAAGAGCATAGACTAGTTGTCTAAAGATTCCATTCATGCCGTTAATTAATCCGAGTTCAATGGCAATATCTTGTGTAATGATAACTGGCATTCCAGGAACTAACGGTAACAAACCCGGTGAGCGCTCAGTCTTACTGTCAGATAAGTCCACTAATTTTTTAAGGGGTGCCGGCTCTTCAACAGGTTTGCCTTTACAAAAGTCCGGAGCAACACATACCATTGGATTGCAACCTGCTTGTACTGCATTATGAATTGCCGATCTGTGGTTCAATTGTGTTCGTATTTCATTTCTAAATACAAGCATGGGAGCCTACAACAGAGTAAAACAGAGAAAAATATCTTACTTGATTCCATGGTGGTTCATGAAGAGATACTGATGACTGTCCGACAACGCGCGTCAATAACCAGGAAGTACGAAATCCGCCGTTTTCCCCTTGAATCACATACACTCGCGATGAGTATCGTTCCTGTTGAATTTGTTTCACATCAGTGGTCCCTGTTTTGTACATATTTAGTTCCAGTAGACAAGCTTTTATGTGTACCAAAAACGAACATAGAAAAGTGTATAGCAGCATTCTCCTTCTGTAATACTTCGTAAACTGAGTTACTCATAGAGGAAGGACAACAAAATAGAATACACGGTATGATGGAGTGAGCGCATCGATGCTCTAGAAAGAAATAAAACCTTTTAACTTCATTGTTTCCAGTGAAGTTTTCGCCGAATGAGAGCGTAGATTGAAGAAACAATATATTGAAAAGAAAACTTGTGTGCTTTCTCGGTTTATTAAAAGACATTCAGCATTTTAAAATGAACAGTCATCCCAGTATATACGCATACAAAGTTCAAATATTGATTTCTCCTTTTAAATATGTAACCGCTTTGCCAGATAGCAACACTCGATCATCTTTATATTCCAACCAAAGTTCTCCCTTACGCGCCGAAATCTGGTAAGCATGCAGTTGATTTCTACCTAATCGTTCAGACCAGAAAGGAGTAAGAGTGCAATGAGCTGAACCACACACGGGATCTTCGGGAACGCCGGCGCTAGGAGCAAAAAATCGTGAAACAAAATCTACTTCGTCGCCAGGAGCGGTGACGATCACAGCAAAAACATCCTCAATTTTGCTCAATACAGTAAAGTCCGGCGACAACTGTTTGATGTCGACTTCGTTTTCATAAACGAGCAAGTAGTCCCTTGCTTTATAAACACCAATTGGAGCCTTTTCACTTTGTAACGCTGACAACATGCCACTTGGCAAATCGACTTTGGTAGCTGGACGAGCTGGAAAATCGAGGGTATATAAATCATTTTCTTTTTGTCGATTTACTGTGAGTTCACCAGCCTTCTTCGTCTGAAAGTTGATCTCTTGTTTCATGGGAGACATTTCAGTGAAAATTACATGTGCTGTCGCTAACGTCGCATGACCACATAAGTCTACTTCCACCGTAGGTGTAAACCAGTGAATTTCGTATGTGTTGTCACTGGAAGTAGGTACAAAGAAAGCTGTTTCGGACAGATTATTTTCAGCAGCAATATTTTGCATCACTGCATCGGGTAACCACTTATCTAGTGGACATACAGCTGCCGGATTGCCGCCAAACAATTGATTAGTAAAGGCATCGACTTGGTATATTTTAATACTCGCCATTTCAAGTTATATCGTGCGATCTAGAAAATTGAACTTTATCATCCATATTCAATACAAATAAATTTAAAATGTATCAAAGAAAATGCATGGATGTCTTTCTACATTCAAATACGAAACTTTATTATTTTTCTACAGCGGTATCAGTCACACTCCCTCTTATCTACCTCTCCCATCTTCGATTCAGGTTACAATGCAAAGATGTGTAATGCTCTAGGAGGTATATCGCGATGCAGTAACACAATTTGATTTGTTATTCTCTCGTTCTGTTCGCTTACGAAGAGTGACAATGAAATGCACTCATTCTCTTTAAGCTACAAGTTACAGAGAAGAATATGTTGCTATTAATTATTGGTATGGTTGATCTTCAGTAGCCGATGAATGACTATAAGTTTTCGCATGATTGGTTTGGATTGAGTAGATTGAATAATCAGAAAATCATTTTTCTTATGTAGTTTTTTGATTCTATTCACAGTCAGAAAAGAGATACGCTCTCTCCTATAGTTTGGTAATCAGAGCGATAGGACACGCTAATTTCATATTGAAAATTTGCGTTACAAGATGAAGGTATTGATATCCTCCTGCGTTTCTACATTTATACGTGGTATAAGTAGTACGAAACATGATAGAGTAGATAGGGGCTATTATGAACGCGTTTTTGAAAATCTGATTTTAAAGCATAATAACTTTTTCATTTTCCAACATTTTTGGAAAAAAAATTGATAGAAATGTAGCCTGAAGTGTTCTCTATACACCTGTCTAAAAATCTTTAAAAAATACCTTCAGAAACTGGTTAAGCACCTGTTTTGCTAGAAGCACCATTCATTTGTTCAGCATAGCCCCACTTGGGGCTATCATGAACATATGCTGGAAATAATGGGGCTATTATGAACGTTCAGTCAAAATAGCTGGAAAATCTACGCTTTACTAGAAATCACTTTATTCATCAACTAATTAAGATTAATTGGCCATTTTTGTATCAGTAGATACATCATATGTTATTCTACAATCGTTAACACTCATTCACCTACATCACATAGTTTGAAGTAGCAGTAACTAAAGTACGAATATACAAAGAAAACATTTTTGTTCAGAATAGCCCCTCATGAGGCTATTATGAACATATGCTGTATGCATGGGGCTATGATGAACACTATGATAAAATGACAGTAATATTTTAAACATTGAATTGATTTAAGGGCAAGAAATTCATTAAACTGAGCTGTACGACAGCGGCTCTTAAGAAAGTCATTTAATTGGTTATAATCGTTAAAAATTAAAACGATGCTTTTTCGACGTTTCGACCTATTAAATGGTCATTATCAAGTATGGATTTATTAGCTAAATATTCATTACAATTAATACTACAACGTTGATTAGAGAGAATGGTTTTCATATAGATGAGGTAATAGTGCAATACAGTGCTTCAAGTGAGTGTTTATATAAAACATTCTCCATACGCTTTTGTGAAGACGAGCTACACGTGGTGCATAGAGATAAGGAAAGAAAGAAGTAAACAAACACGGCGCCACTGTGTACTTGTACCATGTCGTTCTGTGATCTATCTATCCATTCTAATACTGGATAGACAACGTTTTCCAATACTATCTGGATATACATATAGTGGAATAGAATGTGTCGTTCTAATCCTTTCTGGTTCATAGAACTTTATTAAAACAGACTCTTTTAATAGTAACTTGTGAGGATCATTCTCCGTTGATGACATGTTCATTCTCTTTTTGATGCTTCATGATTGATGATCCATTCTTCTTGTTATTATAGCTTGTCTGTTCTTCTTCATTACCATGTGATGTTGAAGTTCGAGCTTGTATTTCAATTGTCATTTCATTTTTATTTTCTTTCTTTCTTCTTGATGTTGTCGTTGTTGTTGTCGTTTCTTTTTGGACGTTAGTTACTGACAACTCATTTTTATTATCATCGTTCCCTAACGTAATTGAAGTGAGCATATTGGATTTATCCTCACATTTTCGTCGTGTTATTTGATATTGTTGTTTTTGAATATCATCCATCCTTTCTCCTTTCTCTTTCTCTCCTGTTGGTTGTGTACCCATTTTTGTCTTCGATCTTGTTATGATTGAGTCTTTTATTGAAGCTGTTGTTGTCTTTGGTTCCATCTTTTTGGTTCTTGATGTTCTTGTTGACTTTAATTGTTCAGTTGACGTTGTTTCTTCCATTTCTAAACCTTCTGTTGCTAGTATACGTTCTGTTGAGTCCAATCTTTGTGTTTCTCCTGTTTTTGTAATTTCTAATTGTTCGTTCGCTGTTATATTGAGCAACTCCAGTTGTTCTTTTCTTGTTGATATTGGTTTCTGTGACTTAAAGTATCTTCCTTTCGTCCACGGTAACTTTGACAAACTCGTAATTTTTGACTCTGTTGGCAGAGTTAATTCCTCTGTTGTTTCAATATTCCTAATTCTTGACTTATTAGTAGTCGACTTTGTTGATTCTTCTGAGTCATCGTTCGTTGATGACCTGTTTGATTGTCTCAGATCTTTCATCGACCTTGTTGAACTTGATATCCTTGAGTCTATTAAATCGACTAATGTCGGTTCCTCTGTGGGTGTTCGCGTAGTTCTTTCAGGGACTGTCTCGGTTAACGTTCCTGGCACCCATGATGTTCCAGTCATCGAAATTGTTGTTGCAGTATTTATTTCTATTTTTTCTGCTTGTTGTCTTGAGGGTGTGATTTTTATCGGCGTCTTTGATGATAGTAGCGGCAATGTGGATAGTGAGACTGATGCTGGATCGTTCCTCAAGTGTATTTTCTTTTTCTCTTCTTCTCTTATCACTGTCGATTTGCGTTCTTTTTCAGCTGTTGTTGTCAAATTTGTTGATTGACATATTTCCACTTCTTTTGTCAACATGTTCGATATGTTCGACCCTACCTTCTTACTTCTTGATCTTGACACTGTTGATTTTGTTGATTTTGTTGATTCTAGGTCATTGTCCCTTGTTAGTGTGGTGGATTTTGTCAAGCGTATTTCTTCCACACGTGTCAATGATTTCATCCTGTTATTGGTAAAGGATGATGTACATGTCTTAATATTCTTTGGTGACATTGTGAGTATTTCATTTCGTATAGTTGATTCTGTTGTTGGTTCTGTTGTTGCAGTTATCAATACCGAGCTCGTTGAGAGCTTCGCTGTGGGTGCTGATACTGTCATTGAATTTTTACCATCATTTCTTTTTATTGATGTTGATGCTGCAATTGTCAATGTCAGACTACCTTTAGCTGCTGCTAGTGTTTTGCTCTTATTTTTCATTGTGCTTCCTGTTGAAGTTAATGCGTTTGTTTCCATATCTGTATTTATTGCCGTTCCCGAATTTAACATTACCCTTTCAATTGAGTCTATTGTGCAGTTCATTTCTGTAGTTTTTGAACTAGTTGATGAATTCACTGGTGATTCTGTCGATGTGAATTTTATACTTGGTATTAAATCAACTTCCTTTGAAGTTGTAGATGAATCCGTTGCTGCGCTCGTTATCACTATCGGCGCTGGTGTTGTGTCAACCATTCGTTCAGTTGATAGTGTCATTGGTATTGTGGTTTTTCTTTTGTTTGCTGTTGATTCCATCGAACGTGCACATACAATCAGCCCGTGTGAGGATGTTGTGTATGGTGATGTCATGTGTGTTGATTGTGTTACCAATGGTGTTGTTTTTGTATCTGTATGTTCCATCGGTTCTGAGGGTGTACATATCGTAGCTGTTGATGTTCTAGTATTCCTTATATTCCTTATAATTATTGATGATGTTTCCGCCATAGAATTTGTTGGAAATGAATCCGTAATCGGTGTTGTTAACAGAAAACATGTTATTGAGTCCATTGATGTTTCTGAAATTTTATTTGTAGTTGAATTAATAGACCCATCTTTATTTTCATTTTTGTTGTATTTAGATTTATTTGTTTTGTGACAACTAATCTGTTTCCTATTATTCAATATCTGTCGGATTGTGCTTGCATCTAATTTTTGTTCTTCACCCATTACGTTCTGATGTAATTTCTTATCAACAATTGACGGTTCCGATACGAATTTTTCCACATGTTGTACCATGCTGTCATTCCTGCATGTGTTCCTGTTTTCTTCAGCTGTGCTCGTCTGTTGAACGTCGGATATTGTCTTTTCATCTATCATTGTATTCTTACTTTCCATCATTCGTTTCTCTCGTGCTCGTTGTCTTGTTAACATTCCACTTATCGTGCTTTTGTCATCTGTTGGAATGCATAGAGTTTTGATGATATCTTACAATAAAAACCTATCAGACAGCGGAAAGTCCGGTTGAAAGCTACTTGGTATGCATAGGTCGGAGAATAAGTGGATTTGTTACACTGTTTGAGTTAATAAAACAGGTTTGTATGAAATATTATGAAGAGAGCTGGATTATCTAAGAGCGTGTACAGAAAGTACACTATGTGGCAATTTTCTGGATGATTTTCCCGTTTGATGTTTACAGATAGATTCGTCTCATTCAGCACGCATTTTAAGAAGTGAAATTATGTAAATGAGACTGAAAAGATGTTGCTGTTAGAATGGCGTCACTTCATTTATCATATGTTGCATAAGAAGTATGCTTGATGGAAGACGGAAAGTCCAAACTAAGTATCATATCAATTATAATGTGTTAGAGCTCACACATTTTGTTGGAATCTATAGATGTATCGATATACTCCCTGGTGAGCGGAGTGGTTCAGACGAATTTCCTTTTTCTCTTTGATAATGGTTTAGATATAACTGTCGATGATATTTCCTTAATGATACAAAACAAATAATACTCTTCCAAAGAGAACTATTGGTAAACGACTATAATACATGTGTTAAATGTGTGAAATCGAGTTTGAAGTATGCAAATTCTTTCAAATGACACATATTCCTTTATTTCTCGAAATATATCTCTGAAACTTACGCAAAATACATGTAGCTTTGAATGCTTCATATTAACAACGATTTTCTTTTTGCTTGAAATATCGTTTACGTGATCATTGCTGTCAATAAATAATTTCTTTGCTCGAATTTGTTAGCATAAATCGCTATAATGCTCTCCAGGTTCAAAGTTAACCTATTATGATGGTGATGCATTTGAAAAATCAGAATTTGTTGTCAGCAGCAGTGAAAATTGTTTCACTTGAATATGAAATGAATACCTATATTCGAAGAGCAGAGAACTTTGACGAGAAGGAAAAGAAAGAAAAGAGAAAGCAATACATGTACAAAGTTGTTTATGTTTCTTTTTTTCTCTCTTCACTTGACAGTGAACAGCTGATTCGGTCAAACAAAGAAATACTAACATATCAATAAACGGTTTTGTTTCGGTATTTCCTAATTTTTCAACTTGTATTTGTGATTTTTCAATAAACAATATCGACTTAATAGATATTTTTCTATTTATTTCATAGGACAAAGTCTTGATAATGACCATTTAATAGATCGAAGCGTCGAAAAAGCATCGTTTTAATTTTTAACGATTATAACCAATTAAATGACTTTCTTAAGAGCCGCTGTCGTACAGCTCAGTTTAATGAATTTCTTGCCCTTAAATCAATTCAATGTTTACAATTATTTATGGCGGCATTATGGGGCTTCTACATCTAAATTTTACGGGCAGTGTGTGAAAACGCACATAAGATTGAACAAGCTGAAATATGATTTACAATTTTTACGCACATGCAAGCGAGAAAATCTCATGCCCAACTTCACGAATATAAGATTAGCCAATCCGTATCTATACAACTCAAAACTGATTTATCAATGTCGATTAAATATTCTTCAAGCCGAATTTAAATTTAAGAAGAGAATCTACACACAGACATATAAACATGCAAAACGACTCAGAAATGAATTAAAAGAATATGTTCTACATATTATTTACGTGCGGCTTGAAACAATAATGGAACAGATTGTGCTGAAGAAGATGATAGAGGTTGAAGACAGACAGGAAGGAAAACTACAATTATTGAGGTATGGTCATTGTTTTCAATATGCATTATCATCCAGAACAAATTACAATAGAAATAATGATAACAATAACCAACCGATGACAACAGAAGTGAATAAAAACGGACTGTTAACAGCGTCATTTGATGAGCAAGATTTCAAAACCCATCTTAAATTGCTGACAACAGCAAAGTTCCAAATAAAATCAGTGACTAATCTGTCAAAGAAACAATTATCTTATACCGAAACAATTGCACTTAGTAATGGTTTACACCACGTCTATCCACCCGAAGTGATGAATGAAACAAATTTTATATGCAATATCGAGAATTATATTGAGTAACTTGATGGCGAGAATCAAAATGTACATTTTAAGATATTAACTTTAACTTTGATTTTTAAAGTAAAGTTGAAAAGTGATTTTACTTTAACTTTAAAATTAAAGTTAAAGTGCTTTACTTTGCTTTAAAATTTTAAAGTTAAAGTTTTACTTTAAACTTTACCTACTTTGATAGAGTAAAGTTAAAGTTAAAGTGTCACCCCTAATATTGTCATCAACCCAAAGCACGACATTTTTGCATAATCCGAGTTCAACCTATGATGTAGAAGCAATTTTGTTAGCAGGCATTCTAGGATACCGAGCATACCTGTCTCAATCATATTTGATGTTGTTTAAAGTTTTCATTATAACTCTTATGGCAAACGAGAAATGATGAATGAGGTAAAAAAAGAACTTCATCTTCTAGTTGGCGTGATTTGGTTGATTTATTTTTTGTTTGTTTACTCATTGGTTTTCTCATGTATTTTCTAATATTGTCGGGCTGGTTTTGCACCATGTGATAAAGTTTTGCAATATTTATTTAAACCAGTAGTTCAACGTGTTCAACAACAGCAGCAAAAAATAACTGAACCATCAACAACAATAGCGACAGAATTACCTCCTCGAAATAAACAACAGCAACCGTTACATTCATCAATTTCGGATGATTTCCTTCGGTACAATACTGGTTATCTGACCGAATAATGATGATTTCATGGAAAATACTTTTGATTGGACTGATGTCTATTTGTGCATGTTTATCATCTTTCTTTTTATTTCATCATATCCAATTTCACTTACTATTCCTATTATTTATACAATCTATTTATCACTTCTTGTTCTTTTAGATATAAAACTGATCGATTCTACGATCCGAATTCATCTCCGAACAACACGGAACTACTTGGCATAATGTCAAATCAATGATATCATTGTAAGTCTTTTACTTTTCTTGTCTAAATTCTTTTTCTTTCTAGATGAATATAACTCGTATGCAATTCTAATTCATTCTAGAACAGATCATCAATGTCTGATCCCAAGAAGAAGGTAAATTGAAAATTCCCCATTTTTCGTTTGGCACGAAGCCAAAACCTTTGTATTTTAGATTGAAGGCGAAATTGATCGATTCGATGATGTTTTCCATGGTCATGGAGATGATATCAATGTCAAGGAGGATGAGAATATCGATTATGATCAATTCTTTTCGGATTTTCATAAAAATGATGATACCAATATGGAAAATATTGATTATGAACAGTTTTTTACAGAGTTTTATTCAAATGAAGAAGCAAAAATGGTTACAAGTGATTATGAAGAATTTTTTACTGAATTTTATTCCAATGAAGAAAATAGGAAAAAAGAAACTATTCCGACACAAGATTTAACTACTGAAGAACAACATTTATCTCAAAAACTGTCTCAATTATCTGCAGCTGATGAACAGCAAAATCAACGAAACGAATCTACGACAGCAACAACTGAGAAAAAACGTCCACCACTAACACCATCGACGCCGATAGCACCGGCGAAAAAACTGAAAGGTGACATCATTGAACAAACATGTGCTAGTAGTGGAAGTAGTGGCGACGTTATGCCAGAATATTTATCCGAATCCAATCAAACGTTTGCAACAATAATCGATCCAGTGCTTCAAACAAGTGCTAGTGCAATTCATATAGGAGATCTACAACAGATTGCTCTACTA